TCAGATTCTCTAGAGGATAGACGTCCTTGATAAATATAATTGAATGACATGCTTTGGGCCACTAACCTTATGGGATTAAGAATTTCTACTGCTTATTTTCATCTCTTTCATAAAATACTTAGATAATAAATAAGCATATAATAAAACTATTTTCTTAGAGAATTAAGTAATGCTTTACTTTCTGTAATATTTTAAATATAGTTTTCTTTTTTTTAAACTTTTTCGTCGAGTTTAATAAAAGAAAATTACATTAAAACGAGAATTTTCTTTATCCCTTTTGACTATTAGTTGATAAAAAAATGAATTTCAGAAAGGTCATTCCGGCTTAACTAAATAAATAAGAGAATTTCATCTCAATATTTTAATATATTCCATTAAAATTTATGTATAATATTATGTAAAGTACATACAAATAATTTATATAGTATCAAAGATGGAATGATTTTATTCGTATGTTGTAACTTCGGAGAAGCGCCAGATCAGTAATAAAATTGATAGACAGCTTTGAAACTAATTTAATTACATTTATATATATATATATATATATTAATTCACTAAAAGATAGAATAATTTTACGTAAAAATTTACAAATAGATGACCTAGCAAATAATCCTTAGCCATAAAAACATAAAATATGTCAAAACTTATTTTATTATCATTTCTATTATTTTTTTATCGCTAAAATCTGTTTTTTTTTATATAATATTTATAGAGTCATTTTTTTATTTAAATTTATTTCTTCTTCATCTTCTTCCTATTTTTATACTTAATTTAAAACATTTATAGTCTTTTTTCAATAAGTAACAAGCGGCTTTGTTACGCTATTGTTTTCTTTCAATTAATTAAGAAAACGAAGAAAATGATAGAAGTTTCTATTTAAAAATAAAATCTTTTCTAGCTCTTGTAGAAAAATTTTAAATTGTAACAATTTATTTATTTATTTTTAAATGTTAAAAAAGAAAATATATATATATATATATACAGAAATACAGTTTACAGTACGCTTCTCTTATTTATCTATTGATTGATTTATCCTTTCAGTAATGCTTCCGAGATGAAGATAAATGATTTTATTGGATGCAAAAGTTATTTATGTCTCAAAAAGATAATGTTTCCTTCTATTATCAAAAGTGAATCGAACAAAAATATATATTAAAATAATAATAATAAACTGTTTTAAAAGTAAAAACTAAATTTCTTATTTAAATATTAATATATATATATATTCTTTTCTTTAAGGAAAAAATTTCGTGTGTATAAATATAAGTTTTGGTAGGGAATCATTAGAAAAAATTTTCAGATTTAGCGTGCAGTTAAATGACGCATAAAGTTATAATGACGTGTTTATGATTATTGTTAAATATTAATCCATTAAAGGAGAGAGAAAAAAAAAATAGCATTTGGAATAAAATAGGATAATCATCATTAAAAGAGTAAAAATATTAATTAAATAAAGGAATAAAAATTTATTTTCCACGTCAAAATCATCGTTAATAAGTATAAAAATTGTTTTCATCTAACAACGGATAAAAACTTGTATCTGTAGTTAGAAAACCATGCTTTATTTCCTTAATTTTTTTTTCTTTCGTATCCATTGAAGTATTAAAAAAAAAAAAAAGAAAAAGATTTTAAACATAATTTCACTTTCGTTCATTTTTGATAATCGATATTATTTCGGGAATAAATCTGTATCACTGGGTCGAGAAGAAATCGACTTTAATTGAATACGAAAGGAACCGAGGTGGAAATTACACTACACGAAGGAGGCGCTAATAACGCGCATAGGGGCGCTGCGTACGGTATCTGCGCCACAGCAGAGCCCCCTCGGTCACGCGCGCCATCGATCGGTTGCGAGCGGAGCTGTTGTTACCGGAAAGGTTAAAGGTCACGGTCGCCGAGGAGAAACATCACGTGACTGGAGGCTGCCTTTTTTCCCCCTTTTATGTTGCTCCATACTTCATTCATCCGGTAACCACGACAACAGCGGATATTTATAATACTTAATTTCTCTCCCCTCCCATCGTCTTTAAACTATCGAATTTATTTTTATAAAATTGTTTTTTTTTTTTTTTTTTAAAAAA